CATGCCTAAGGCAGGACTAGAACTCACCATCTCCTGGCGATTGGCCCGAAATCACCCAGCTAGATTTCATGCCTAAGGTAGGACTAGAACTCACCAACTCCTGGTGAGTGGTCCAAAATCACCCAGCCTAAGGCAGAACTAGAACTCACAGTTTCGTGGTTTCTAGCCTGATGCCTTCACCACAAGGCCAAACTGATCTTTGTCAGTCTTGTCTGGGCTGAGAAACAAGACAGGGTCAGGCTTGATTAACATTTTGATGGAGACCGTCTCTCTCCACCAAAACCCTGAAAATGGCTATCAAATGTTAACAAAACTGGATTCAATAGCCTGATTTTATATTCTTATGTCTGCTTCCATTTTCCTATTAAATATAGATCTTAATCCATTGAAAGCAATGTAATTGCCTAAGTAGTATTTTTTTTAAAAAAATTCGGCAGTAACCTTCCTCTGAACCAGTTGCCGAAACCCTACAATGAAACAATCACTTTTATGCTTTACAGCAAATCTTTTGTTTTACAAATAGTACAAACCCCCCTTAAAAAAAAAAAAAACATGCACCCAGGCTGATTTTGCAGAGTTTTACAAGACGATGGAACATGAAACGGCTTGTGCCAAGAGGCTAGCGTTTCGCCTGCAATTTTTCACTTGGCTGGTCATACGTCTGCCTTTTGCAAGAATCTGGTGGCACGTTTCACGTGTGCAAATTTAAAAACAAAAAACTGCACAGCCGTTCAAAAGAAAGAAAAGCTATCTTAGAGGGAGCCAACTGTGGGATTATCCCCAAACAGTGTCAGTTCCAGTATGCAAAAGAGAAGTTGACAGTCGGTTGGAGCTCTAGTGGAAGATCCTTTTTAACTGCACAGGGTGCTTTGACTAACCAGGGTAGAACATGAAAAGCTGAGATTGATGGTCTGCCTTTGCAACTTCATTTTCTCCCCCAGCCGATGCTCAGCTTTCGCATTGCCCCAGCTCCAAAAAGACTCAATCTTCTTGGTCCTGATGAATTTGGAGAACTGCCATTTGTGATATCATGTAAACATTTGTTATGCTAATGGAATTCTAAGTGGAGGCATAAATCGGTCAAAACATCTTGACTCCTTTTGTGAGTCTGTGCAGTCCTGTTCGCTGGCCAGGCAGGGGGCTGATAGACACAAGCCTCGGCCAACCCAACGGACTGAGGAATTTCACAAAGACTGCACAAGGCAGTCACAGTGGGCAATCAATCATTTATGTCCAACACTGCTCGCTCCCTGTCTGAAGCAATCACATATGCAACATGTGTCTAAACTGTTCCTGAACTTTTTCGTATCAGTTTTTAGAATACGCTTGCCTTTATTGCTGGATGGGACAGATATTGTGGTGTGGCACCCATAACAACATAAAAGAACATGGATTACTTTCATTTGCCAATATCTGGCAATTTAGCTGGGCCCTCTTCCACTCTGAACAGAAGCAATAGCGATAGGACTTAGACTTATATACCGCTTCACAGTGCTTTACAGAGTCAGCATTTTGCCTCCAACAATCTGGGTCCTCATTTTACTGACCTCGGAAGGATGGAAGGCTGAGTCAACCTTGAGCCCGTGAGACTCGAACTACCAAATTGCCGGCAGCCAGCAGTCAGCAGAAGTAGCCTGCAGTACTGCATTCTAACCATTGCGCCACCACGGCTCACGACTTAGATATATATGCTGTTTCATAGTATTTTACAGCTCTTCATGGTTTACAGTGTCATTATTATTTTGGTATCATTAGAATTGGGCACACATGGCCAACATCTAGCTTAAGGTGTCTTCTGCACTGTTTGACTTGGGGGATTTGCTCCCAAAGACTCCAGAAGCAACTTAATTCTGGAAAGATAGCAATAGCAATTAGACTTATATACAGCTTCACAGTGCTTTTACAGCCCTTTCCAAGCGGTTTACAGTGTCAGCCTTATTGCCCCCAACCATCTGGGTCCTCATTTTACCAATCTTGGAAGGATGGAAGGCTGAGTCATCCTTGAGCCGGTCAGGATCGAACTCCTGGCTGTGTGCAGAATGACTGTGCCATATGGCGTTCTAACCACTGCACCATCACACTTTGCAATTCCCCCCTCCCCATTTGTTTTGGCTGACAAACATGCTTAGTTATCTTTGACTGCTTCCCCTTCCTTCTGCACAGGTATTTTTCTCCCAAAATGTTTGTTCTCTCTGTCCCTTGATCTCATCAACTCCTGGCTCCCTATGGCTCTCATTTGGGCTACATAAGGTTCTGAACAAAAGAATGAGTTCACTATTGGTCTTTAATCTGGACGTGCATCCTGAAGCCTTCCAGATGTTTGTGGTGGCCCATAACTTCCATCCACAATGGAAGATATAGCTTGAAACCGCTGGAGAACATTCGGTGGCAGATTCTGTTGACCAATTTAGACTACTGCATGTCCGCAATCAACCCTTAATTCCAAGTAAAACCGAAGACCCAAATGTTCAAAAGAAAACAAGAATACCTATTGCCTGAAGCTATCCATTTAGCTTGACATCCAAAGCTGTGAAGCTCACCAGTGTTGTAATAACATAACAGCAGCAAATTAAATAACTAGCAAATTTGCTGCTTTTTCGTGACATCTAACATCAGCTGGCTGCCTCACTCTGCCTCAGAATCGGCCTGGCCCTTATTTGGCATATTTATTCTTTTTGCAAACTTTCTTGGAGCACGTTTCTTTCAAGCAAGAGAAACCTTTCAACCACCCGATCTTGCAAAAGGCAAACTCCAGAGCTGTGAAAGTTTGCAAGCAATTAAAGAAACCAGTGACAAGTATGAACATATCTTGGAAAACGACCTCTCTGCATTGGTGGCATTTGAATTTTAGCAATGAAATAGGTGGGCTTATTTTAATCCAGTCTTCTAATCCGGGGGTCTCCAACCTTGGCAACTTTAAGACCTGTGGATTTCAACTCTCAGAATTCCTCAGCCAGCAACTGGCTGAGGAATTCTGGGAGTTGAAGTCCACAGGTCCTAAAGTTGCCAAGGTTGGAAACCCCTGTTCTAATCGGTGGGGCAATGCCTCCCACCCAACCCGGTTAGTCAGGCTGGCTGGGGAAGATAGTTGTTGCACTCAGGGCATTTGTAGGGCACAAAGTTGAGAAAGGTTCTTTCAATTAATTAGGAAAAGAAAAAAAGAATACATCTCGTCCTTGACTTCACAACCATCATTGGGAACCAAAATTTCAGTTGCTAACACAAGGTTAAGTGAATCATGCACAATTTTACAACCATTCCTGCCACGGATGTTAAGAGAAACACTGCAAGTAAGCGAATTACATGGGTGTTTAAGGGAATCTGGCTTCTCTCATTGACTTCGCTTGTCGGAAACCACCTGAAAAGTTCACAAATGGTGATCCCATGACCCAGGACACTGCAAGTGTTGTAAATACATTTTTTAAGTTTTTATTATTATTTTTTTACTTTAACTTTTTAACTTTGCACAAAATTGGAAAAATGACGAGATCCCTACGGATGAGAATTGTGATTAGGAAAATATTAGAATGTGCAGGAATGAATAGATTAACGCTTGCTATAAAGGAGGAAGAACAAACTGAACATTGTGTGATGTGGCAGCTATTTTTACGGATAGTTGGAGAATAAAAACAGAAGTAAGAAATAAATGCAGATTAGTGAAATGAAGAGATGTTAAGATAGAGATGTAAACAATATGATGATGATTAATATGATTGTTAAGATTATTATACCTATTATAATATTATATTTTCATTAGAAGATACGTTAAGAGGGAGAAATGACTAGAGTCTTAATGCTGATTGTTATTGTTGTTACTCTTTGGTGAGATTCACAGCCTTTGAGGCTGGTTGATAACTCAACAGCTCGAGTCCTAACCAAGGACCTAGGAACTGCTCAGGTAACATCGGAGGATATAAGCTGTTCCAAGTAG